AAAAAAAAAATTTTTAAAAAGAAAAAAAAAAAGAAAAAGAAAAAAAAGATCCAAATGTACCAACAAAAATAAAGAACGGAGAACTAAGTATCCATTTGATTTGCTGTTTCACACCTTTTTTTTTTTTTTTTTAATTTTCAATTTTACAAAATATTGAAAACGTATATGATCTGCTATTTATGTATCTTCGAACACACAAAAAAAAAAGTTAATAACATAAAACTCAAAACGCATTTTTTAAGTTTTAAGTGAAAATTTTGAAAACATTCAAAGTGTTTAAATAAAATTTAAAAAAAATAAATTCTAACAATTTTTAAAAATAAAATTTAAAAATAAAAAATTAAAATTCTGAAAAAAATAAAATTATAAAAATTACTAGATAAATAAAAATTATAAAAATTAAAAATTATCCAAACTCTTAATAATTATTTACTTAAAAATTTAAAAAATAAAAACTTCTAAATAATAAATTTTGAAAAATTAAAATTAAAATGCTAAAAAATTAAATTATAAATTTTTTTTAAAATAAAAATTAAAAAAAATAATTTAAGATCTTAATAATTATTTACATAAAATTTTAAAATACACACGCGCACGGGGCACGTTCTCACACACACACACACACACACACACACACACACACACACACACACACACATATATATAGACACACACACACACATGCAACGAACAAAATATTTTCAATCTACATTATTAATTTTTAATTAGTTTTATTTACTGAATTTTGAAAACTCAATTTGTCATTTATTTAATTTTGTAATGAGAAAAAATATTGTAAAATTCATCAACTTTAAAATTATGTATTGCTTCATAATATCTAACTTCTAATAAGAAAGGGAAAGATGATCTACTATTGATGCAATAGTAAATTAAACCAATTTTACTATGCATGATGTCATTTTTTTATTTTTCATTTTGTTCATGTCAAACAAATATTCTTCTACACATCATGCTACTAGCATTAAAAAAATAATTATTTCAAACAAATGTTCTTTCACACATCATGTCACTAGCATTAAAAAATAATAATAATTTTAGTAAATATAAACAGCCATGAGCCCAAAAAAAAAAAAAACTCTTCGAACATTCGTTTAAAAAAAATAAAAATAAAATCCCCGCACAGTGCGGAGAGATGACAAACCATGTGCAGAGTAAAAAAGAAAGAAAAAAATTCTCCGCATAGTGCGGAGAGATAGCAAACCACGTACGGAGAGTTGGCAAACTCTCCTATAGTGCGAAAAAAATATCTTCATACAGTGCGAAGAGATGACATTCTGTGCGGACTCTCCATACAGTGCTGAGTAAAAAAAACAAAAAATAAAAAATAAAAAGGGGAAGGAGAGTCACTATTGATGCACTAGTAAATTAATCCAATTTTACTAGACATGATGTCATTTTGTATTTTTCATTTTGTTTATGTTAAACAAATGTTCTTTCACACATCATGTTACTAGCATTAAAAAAATAATAATAATTTTAGTAAATATAAACTGTCATGAGTAAAAAAAAAACTCTTCGCACATGAGCTTTAAAAAAATAAAAATAAACTCTCCGCACGGTGCGGAGTAAAAAATGAAGAAAAAATTCTCCTCATAGTGCGGAGAGATGGCAAACCATGTGTGGAGAGTTGGCAAACTTTTCATACAATGCGAAATAATATATATATATATATATATATCTCCGTACAGTGCAGAGAGATGACAAACACCATGGCAAAACTCTTCGCACAGTGCAAAGAGATGACATTTCTGTGCGGACATTGTTCTCACAAAGTGTGGAGTAAAAAAAAAGCAAAAAAAAAAAAATCTCCGCACAGTGACTGTCACGTGTGTTGCACGAATTTTGTATTTATCGTATTTTTATTGGTGTATGAATTTTAGTTTTTTTGAAAGTTTTTGAAGCAATACCTCAAAATATTTCCATAATATAAGAAAATAATTGCAAATTATTTTTACAATTGCATAACAGTATTGTGTCATCTAAAAAAAATATAGTTGTATATTTCATACTTGAATAAGAAATATACAAGATTATACAAATTATTTTGCTTGTATTCTTTGATAGTGTTGATATGATTGAGTTGAATGTGAAGATTATATTTCTAAATTTTGTGTAATTCAATATTAAAAAATTGAAGATTGAGCATCATATTCATATGTATTTATATTTTGTACTTCATATATATTTAATATTTATTTTATACTTATGTTGAAAAAATAAAAAATCTGGAAATTTTTTTTGACATTCGATTTGGTAAGTGAATGTACGGTGTTTTGCATTCTCGGTATTTATTAGTGCAAAAATCGGTATATAAAAATACAGTAAACTGCAAATACGGTAGGCAACATATACGGTAAACTGCAAATACGGTAAGGTAAAAATACGATAAGTTGTTTGCAAATGTAGTAAGCTTCAAATACGGTAAGTTGCAAATACGGTAGACAACATATACTGTAAGGTGCAAATACGGTAAATTGTTTGCAAATATGGTAGACTGTAAATGCGGTAAGCTGTAAATACAGTAGGCAGCATATACGGTAAGCTGTATATATGGTAAGTTGCCTGCAAATACAGTAAGTTGAATATATAGATTTATAATTTATTATAAATGTATAAAATTTATTTAATATTGAAATTCTTAAATATTAAATGTTGTAATTCAATATTGTTTTCTTTTTTATAATCGTATTTTCAAGAATTAAAAAACAAAATGGTTATGAAATTGTTAATTTTTAAATGTGTTTTTTTTTAAAAATAAAAATGATTTTTTTTATGTTATTTCTAAAAAAAATTTATTGTAATTTTATTAGCGTAATAAAAAGATTTATTATGCATTTTTATTTTTTGCATTTTGTGAAGAATTTTGTTTATAGTGATTGACAAATATTCTTTTACACACGAATCATGCCAATAACATTAAAAAAAATAATAATAATTTTAGTATATATAAACTCCATGAGACCAAAAAAAAAAAAAAAATCCGCACATGAGCAAAAAAAAAAGAAGAAAGATTCCACAAAGTGCGGAGAGGTGGCAAACCATCTCTCCGCACAGTGTGAAGAGAAAAATAAGAATTATCGGGACTTCATCTACAAGTTTCAAGAGGCCTTTTTTTAAACAACTTTTGAGCAATGCATTGAACACTTTAATTCCTAGCCTACAACCTGAAAGTATAATTTTATTGAAAATTGTATCCGCCTCTAATGTCCAAGAGCTGCTATCAAGCAAGTGTAAAATATTGAATTTGGATGGTACCCTAGAGCTTCTATTTGTGAAAGCAACGCCATGGTACTATCAATATTCTCTTCTTTGTACAACTCACATATTGTTTTATTGTATGAATTATGAGAAAACTCATTTCCAATACCGTAAATATGATTTACATGCTCAGAAATTGAGCTGTGACTGAAATTTAAAGAAAACATAATTGATTTTGAGCCATGTTTTTCGACTCTATTTCGTTGTATATACGAAAAATTTATAATCTTGAAATTTCACTTGTAATTAAGGAATTTCATAACAACTTTCCGCACTGTGGGGAGAGTTTTTTTTTACTCCGCACATGGTTCAACTCTCTGCGCACTGTATGGAGAGTTTTGCCATGGTGCGGACCAACTCTCCGCCTATGCGGAGAGGTTTTTTTCACTCTGCACGTTTTTTATTTTTTATTTTTACTCCACACTTGATTCAACTCTCTCCACGCTGAGCGGAGAGTTTTTTTTTCAATTTTACAATATTGAATTACACGAAATTTAGAAATATAATCTTCACATTCAATTCAATCATATCAACACTATCAAATAATACAAGCAAAATAGTTTGTATATTTCTTATTCAAACATGAGATATACA